ATAGCACAAAAAGACATCATAGGGTGCTACAGCATTGCATCAGACAAGTTTCTGAACTTTGCCATTTGGTCAAGACTTTGCTCCACTGGGACTGTGTGGTGGTTAGTTAAAAGAATCCATGCACAGGAATCTTCCACCTCAACAAGTCCACCTCTCCCCACCCACCCAAATTTATTTCGGGATTTGGAAAATCAAAACTCTTATGGACAACCTCAACAACAATAGACCTGTTCTCTGTGGGCTGTAGGTTCAGGAGGTGCTAACATACGCCACCCAGGGATTTGTTGTCAATTGGTATTTACAACAACCTGGTTAAGTGATGTCCTTTAGGGAAAGAAATCTGCTATCCTTACCTGGTCTGGCCTATATTGACTCCAGACCGACAGCAACACGGTTGACTTTTAACTACCCTCTGGGCAATTAGGGATGAGTAATAAATGCTGGCTTAGCCAGTGACATCCATTTTCACAAATGAATACTAAAAAAGAACTCACTCTATTCAGTCATGCTAATATCAACCGAATTAAATAACCAGCTCACTGTATAATGGACAGCCCATGGCCCCTTGCTTCTTCCCAAGACAATATTTTAACCCATTGTGTTCAGTCATAATAAACGCAATGAGAATAATTTGGAAATTGGAAGAAAGGTGCAAAAGTTGTTGAGTAACTAGGTTCTTTTACTTCAGTTTTTGGTCCTTTCAAGAAGCCCCAACTGCAAATTCTGCACAAAGTTCGATTAAAAAGGAATGCAGCAAGTGGTAGATTAATATGAGTAAGTGGCTTAGAGGAGATCTGAGAAAAATATTTTTCAGCCAGCTAGTGGTAAAAATATGGAATGTGCTGCCTGAGAGGGTGGTGTAGGCAGGTACACTCACAACATTTAAGCAGCATCTGGATGAGTATTTTAAATGCCAGTTCATAGTAGGCTATGGACCTAGTCAGGTAACTGGGATTAGTGTAATTTGCTGTTTGTTGGTCGGCATAACATGATGGGCTGAAGCATCTGTTTCTATGCTGAATGACTCCATAACTCTGTCCCACCGGTTTGTTTCTTACGGCCAATATATACTCCATAGAGATGGCAACAAAAGCAGAAATTACTGTAAAAATTCAGGTCTGGTAGCACCTGCGGTGAGAAAGCAGATTTAATGGTTCGGCTCCAGTAACCCTTCTTCAGAATTTGATATCAATATCAATGCCAGAATCAAGAGGGTCACAAACATTTGGGAAGATGTGTTAGGCAAAGAAGGTGTAGGAAAACAAAACTCCAATGGAGACCTCCTCTTGATGAAGTGTCTAGAATATGACCTTGTCATAGAAAACATTCTCTTCTGCCAGAGGGAGAAGCAGAAGGCCTCATGTCAATACCCCTGCTGAGCATTGGCACCTAACAGACCACAACATTATCCAAGCAAGGGACAGCAAAGATATCTACATCACTCATGCCATTCCCAGGGTCAACAACTGCTGGACTAACCACTGACTAATCTGGTCGACCATTTCCACCAATGTAGCCCCAACTGACAGCAGTAGTAAAAATTCTGCCACATTGGACTCTCAACACTTCTGGACTCAATAACTCTCAGAAACAAGGCTTATTAATTGGCGCCTCACAGCCAATCTGGCAACAACCAATGAGCCTGAAGCGCAGAGTCTCCACAATGCCTGGTCCTTGCTAAAAGCCACCATGCATGGAAACACTCTGGCTCTCAACCAGGAAACACCAAAATTAGTTTGACAAGAATGATCAGGACATCCTGGATCTGCTAGACAGCAATGCAAGGCGTTCCTGAACTAGCAGCTCCACCAAACCTCAAGACGAATCACATCTACAGGCAACTGAAGTCGCTCAATGACCGAGGGGCAGTCAACACCCACTGGAGACAGCACTTTGAGGACCATCTCAAAGATGCAGCTTTCAACAAAAGTGTTCTCAACGCAGTCTCAAACACACTATCCCCAGTCATCTCAGGGCACCTCCATCTTGCTGAGAGATCAGAAAAGTGATCAAACAGCTGATAGCCAATTCGGCCTCCGGCACAGATGCAATCCCTGCTGAAATACTAAAATATGATACAGAGGCACTCTTGACATGAATCCATATCATCACTGGCTTTTTCTGAAAGGAGCATGCCCGGAAATCTCAGATGTGCATATATGCGCAGGTTAGATGTACTGGCCATGCTAAATTTCCCCATAATGTCCAGGGATGAGAGTATGTGGATGAGCCATGGTAAATGCATGGTTACTGTTTTTTTTGGGGGGGGTGGAAAAGAGAAGAAGGGGAAGAAGCTGGGTCTGAGATGGCCTTTATAGGGTTGGTGCAGACTCGATGGGCCAGATAGCCTTTTTCCACACTGTAGGGATTCTATGATACAGATCTGATTGTGGAAATTAGAGAGAGATTTGCCTACTGAATGCCGCAGGAAATGTCACTGCAAGAGTCCTCAACTGCCTCTTCCTCGTGGCTAAAGGGGTCTTTCCTGACTTTCAATGCGGGTTCAACCAAACAATGGACATGATTTTCAGAATGCAACAAATCAAAGAAAGTGCAGGGAACAACAGCAACCTCTGTATAGGGCCTTCTCTGATCTCACAAAAGCCTTTGATTCTGTCAGTGAGGGACAATGGCATTTCCTACTCAAATTTGGCTGCCTACAGAAATTTGTCACCATTCTCTGCCTGCTTCACAATGATGTGCAAGAAGTGACCCTCACAAACCATCCACCGCAGCTCCAATACGAATGCAATCTGGGATCAAGCAGGGCTGCGTCATTGCACTGATGTTCTCCATCTTCCTTGCTGCAAAGCTCAAACCCATCTCAATGAAACTCCCTGCTGGAGTGGAGCTAATTTACAAGATCTCCAGGCCAGAACCAAGACCACCTCACTTCTGTCAGAGCTCCAATACACAAAAGACACTCTATGCACGCAGATACATACTCAGATGCCAAGGTACCATTCACTGCTGATGCATACGCTGAGGCGAGAGAGAGCGCACCTTGGACTTAATACGCAGGAAACAAAGGCTCTTCAGCCCACTGATGCCAATAACACTGTCCCCTGATCATCAAAATCTAGTGAGCCTCTGGACAATGTGGATCATTTTCCATATTTCAGGAGCCTCTTTTTAGTGTGAGCAGACATCAACAATAAAATCCAACTCAAGCACCACTGCAGCTTCTGGATGCCTCAGGAACAGTGTGCTTGAAGTCCAAGACCTTAAACATAGCAGTAAGCTCGATGTCTATAGAGCAGCCATGGATGCCACCCTCCTGTATGCAAGAGAAATAAGAACAATGTGCAGCATATATCTCAAATTCCTGGAGAGTTATCACCAGCACAGTTTTCACAAAATTCTGCAAGTCCACTGGCAGCGAAAGCATAGCAACATGAGCATCCTCTCCCAGACTAATATTCACAGTATCAAGGCACTGCGATAAATGGACCACATTCAAGACTCCCTAAATAAAAGCTCTCCTCTGAGCTCCACTATAGTAAGCGATCACTAGGAGGACACAGGATATGATACAAGGACACCCTGAAAGCTTCCCGAAACACACACGACATCCCAAACAACACATGGGAGTCACTTACCCTAGAATACACAAACTAGAGAAGCATCCATGAAGGTGCCAACCACTTCAGGCATTACTGACTGGAGTACAAGCTGCAGAAAGGGCGCATAGAATCCAGAGAATCTCAGCCACCCACCTCCTTAAACACCACCGGTCCCACCTATGCAAGAATCTGCTGCTCCAGGATTAGACCATTCAGCCATTACAAAACCCTGCAGGTCTGTGCACGGCAGCGGTTTCCGAAACCGAACATCATTGCTCAGAACAGTATCAACGTGCCAATTGGCTTGCGCTGAACCTCCTTGTAACTGTGCTTTGAGGAAAAGTTGGTCATGAACAAAGTCCTAGAGAAGTTTTTTTATTTGACATCATTCACTAAACCTGTCTTATTATATGATAACTAATCCAAAATACCCTCAGTTCTAGTTAGATCCACATTATCTAGGGAACTGTCCTGAATACACACAATGGATCCTTCTTTGTAGCTACCTCTGCTGATTGGATTTTCCGAACTAAGGTAAAAGGTAAAGTCACCATTGTCTCAGAGGATCATAGAGCTGCTTTCTCATGAGAGGGGACAAGAGTTTAAGTGGAGGGTCACCATGTCTCAGACAAGGTATGAAGGAGAGAAGGTGGGATCTTCAGTGACCTCAGCTGGCACAGGAATCAAAACCATGCTGCTGGCATCACTCTGTACTACAAACTAGTCATCCAGCCAAATGAACTAACCAATCACCTATTGATCTTCTATTGGCCTTCTGGCAGCACACACTATGAGCTGAAAAAAGTGGAATTCATACAAAAGTGGGGTTCTGAACCATGTTGTCTTTCCACTTGGATTTTCTTGTCACCCAGCCTTTGTGGACAGGTTCTTTTTGTTGGAGGATGGTGGGTGGGTCAGCATCTGACTTCCTCAACTGCACTCTCTCACACACTCGTGCATTCTCCCCGTCTAATTTCCACATACAGTACACAACAACCCAAACCCCAACCCCATCAGCTCCTCTCAGCTAAGTATAGCGCAGAGGATAAGAGCATATCCTCAGCCACTAATATTTCCTTTTTAAGATATGAAGTTATCAAACATTCTCTGAAAAAGGCTGTAAAACGCCTCATACTATCTCCTTGCTGGATTGACTGCACAACCTTTGCTCTCTCATCTTCTAACATGCTGTGGTATTAAGAGCTACACCACACACGCTGCACATCCTCAAGGAGTCCACTCAGCCACCTTAGCTCTAGTCCTTCAGGGACCACCATTAGTCATTGGCTCATTGCCTGACGAGTCCTAGCCTCAGCAGCCCAGCCAGTATCGTGTTCCTTGCAGTCCCAGTGCTCGTAACGTTATTTTAGCGCGTAGACCTTCAGCACAATTAATTTGCTTTTAGTACAAAATCCTGGAGGAACGAGAATTACTTACCTAATTACATAATAATGCATTTTAATCCCAAGCAGCCTTGGTTTCTATCATCTTGACTGTTGAGTTTTATCATTCTGTACTGCCGAATCTCTCGTACCAGTGTGTAAAATGCATCTTCAACTCCCTATATTACAAAAGAAAAACAATTTCATTGATAAAAGACAATTAAAAGGAAGAGAGTGTTTATCAAATGTTATTTGTTACATATCAGTGATGACCAGAATCTAAAAGATGGTATGTTAGCTATAGTACACAAGTGGCACTTTAATCAGTTGGCTTTGTTGTGGCTTCTCAAACTCTTGAACTACGTAGCATGAGGGGGAGAGAATAAAAGTTCATTCAAAAGTTCATAGAGCTATAGAGATGTACAGCACAGAAACAGACCCTTCCATCCAACACATTCACACTGACCAGATATCCCAAATTAATCTGGTCTCATTTGCCAGCATTTGGCCCATATCCCTCTAAACCCTGCCTATTCATATAACCATCCAGATGCCTTTTAAATGTCATAATTGTACCAACCTCCACCAATTCCTCTGGCAGCTTATTCCATATACGTACCACCCTGTGTGTGGAAAAAGTTGTCCCTTAGGTCACTTTTAAATCTTTCAACTTCAAGCGAGTTCTGTATCCAAATGGCTAGCTCTCCCTGCATTCCGTATTTTTAAACCTTGCTAACCAGTCTGACCTTACTGAAGGCCATATAGATCACAGCCACCGCTCTGCCCTCACCAAAACACTTTGTTACTACTTCAAAAAACTCAATCAAGTCAGAGACACAATTTCCCATGCACAAAGCCATGTTAACTATCCCTAATCAGTCCTTGCCTTCCCAAATACATATAAATCCTGTCCCTCAGGATTTCCTCCAACAACTTGCTCACCACTGATGTCAGGCTCACTGGTTGATAGTTCCCTGGCTTTTCCTTACCACCTTTCTTAAATGATGGCACCATGTTAGCCAACCTCCAATCTTCTAGCAACTGACCTGTGGCTATCAAGGATATAAATATCTCAGCGAGGTGCCCAGCAATCACTTCCCTAACTTCCCAGATTTCTAGGGTACACCTAATCAGGTCCCAGAGATTTATCCACCTTTGTGCATTTAAGACGTCCAGCACCACCTCCTCTGTGATATGGACATTTTTCAAGATGTTGCTTTTATTTCCCCATGTTCTCTATCTTCCATATCCTTCTCCACAATAAGCACCGATGCAAAATACTTGCTTAGTATCGCCCCCATCTCTTGCGGTTCCACATACAGGTGGCCTTGCTGTTGTTGCAAAATATAATACAGTTCAGCAGTTTATAGTCCACTAATGCACCATATCTGGACAAATTCTTACAGACCCGCCAAATTCCAGTAATGCACTGTTAAAAGAACATTTATCAAGAGTTTCCCTGATGCCTCAGATGGTAAAGCGAACACCCCTTAAATTGCCAAAATAACAAAAACTGTGGATTCTGGAAATCCAAAACAAGAACAGAATTGCTGGAGAAACTCAGCAAGTCTGACAGCATCTGTGGAGCGAAAGCAGAGTTAATGTTTTGGGTCCATTGACCCTTCTTCACAACTACTTAAACTATCCATTTTTACACGAGGCAACCCTTTAAATTGCTAAAATAGCACTAACAACTTACATTTGGTCAATTACAAAGTCGACAAATACATGTTAAATATGCTATTTTGGCCAGAGACAGATGTCAGTGAATTACTCACATCCTGAAAAGTTGCAATTATATATTCAGATTAACTGTTCCCAATGGCAACGAGTTTAATAAGTAAACATTGCCTCCAATCCAAAGTTCAAAGCAGCTGTCAGATAATCTCTATTGTAATAAAGCCACCAGAATCTCTCAAAATTCACTTTATCTGGACTGATTAACAAACTTTAAATGTCACCAAGAGCATTGAAACTTTAAAATTTTAGGTTGCAATTTACAGATCAGAAGTCACATTTTGCTTTGAACTCCACTGGGAGCTTGAGTTGGCCTTACCTGGCTAAGGGCTGGCCAGAGTTCAAAGACTGGAAAAGTGAAGGAAAAGGAAGAAGAAAAACAAAATCTCCCATCGCCACACTGACAGAAATAATCAGCACTGCCAACATCAAAGTGCGCAGAGACCCAAAAGTCAGTGAACTCTGTGCCTATACATGGTGCCAATGATGCCCAATAAAGCCTCACCTTGCTTACAGCTCTACTTAGCATTCCACTCTACCGTGATCCCTATTTGTTGCCCCACTTATCACACCACAGCCACTCTGCTCCTGGTCCCTCAATACCTCACTCCCACTTGCCACCTTGCGAGACAACGCAACAGTAAGCCGGAGTGAGACAGTGAGGGGGTAGCAGCGAAGTGTGTGTTTGAAGTGGGGATGTCAGCAAATCACAATTTCGGGATTGGAATTCATTTAAAACAACTGTAAAACAGCCATTTTATTGCTCATCTTTTTTGATGCATTTTAATGCTCTGTCACTGGCAGTGACATCATAAGTACTGCGATTACACAGGCAATGAGCTTGCGTTTGCAGCTGCGTTGCCAATAAATGCAGCCAAAAGTAAGTTCACACTGGTTACACTCCTGGTCACCGCCCAATCCTTTTTGCTGGCAGAGTGAACAATATAAAAACTTGTGCAAGCAAAACTGCCAGCAGATACATTCTAAGCTAACACATTAGTAAGGATAAAATAGGCGAGGTACCAAATTGTATACAGTGCCAGGAAGTCAACACCTTACACAAGTTGGGAGAAAATTGATCTAAGGAAAAAAACAAAAGTACATCTTGCTAAAAAAGAAGCAAAAATGGAGCCACTGGAATTCACAAACTACTAGACAACAATCAGCTTGCACTTTGATTTAAGAGTGAAATTCTAGGCATGTACAGACTAATCCAGTCTACAGATTAATCACAAACATGCAAGCAGATTTGTGTTACATTAAATTTGCTTACAAGAAATAACTGGTAAAGAACCTATAGATAGAGAAACATAGTTTTGCACTGATGTGAAAGATTACGATCTGCAGTTGAAAAATCCAGACTGTGAGACCTTAAGATACAGGGGCAGAACTCTGCCATTCGGTCCTTTGGCCCATAGATTCTGCTTCACCAATTCATTGTGGCTGATATGTTTCTCAAACCCATTCTCCTGCTTTCTCCCTATAACTCATGATCCACTCTTATTAGTCAACAACCTATCTTAAACACACTCAATGACTTGGCCTCCATCGCCTTCTGCGGCAATGAGCTCCACAGATTTACAACCCTCTGGTTGAAGAAATTCCTCCTGATCTCAGTTCTAAACTGTCATCCCTTTACTCTAAGGCCATGCTCTAGAGTCCTAGTCTCTCCTATTGGTGGAAACATCTGCTCCAAGTTTACTCTATCCAGGCCTCTGAGCATTCTGTAAGTTTCAATCAGATTCTCCCTCATCCTCTAAACTCCACTGAATACAAACCCAGAGTCCTCAAACATTCCTCATATGACAAGTCCTTCATCCCAGGATCACTGCTGTAAACCTCCTCTGGACCCCCAAAGCCAACACATCTATCCTTAGATAAGGGGCCCAAAACTGCTCACAATATTCCAAATTCAGTCTGCCAAGAGCATAACACAATCTCTGTAGTGTCTCTCTGCATGTCTTCCAGCTCTCTTGAAATGAATGCTAACATTGCAGTTGTTTCCCTAACCGCTAACTGTACCTTCATGTTAACCTCAACAGAACCCTGAACTAAGACTTCCAAGTCCCTTTGTGCTTCAGATTTCCAAACTCTTTCCTCAGTTGTAAAATAGTCTATGTCATTATTATTCTTACCAAGTTGCACAATCTCACTTGTCCATTATATTCCATTTGCCACTTCTTTGCCCATTCTCCCCGCCTGTCCAGGACTTTCTGCAACATCCCTGCCTCCTCAACACTGCCTATCCCTCCACCCATCTTCGTGTAACCTGCAATCTTAGAAACAATACTCTCAGTTCCTTCAGCCAGATTGTTAATGCATGACATGAATAGTTGTGATCCCAAGACTGACCCTTGCAGAATTCCACTAATCACTGGCTGCCATCCTGAAAAAGACTACTTTATTCCGATTCTCTGCATTCTGCCAATCAGCCAATCCTCTATCCATGCCAATAACTTGTCCCACCTATCTTATTTAGCAGCCTTCTATGCAGTATCTTGTTAAAGAGCTTCTGGAGATCCAATATATCATGTCTACTGGCTCTTTGTCTACCTTCTCCTCAAAGAATTCTGACAAATTTGTCAGGCATGACCTCCCCTCTACAAAGCCATGCTGACTCAATCCTACTTTACTATGATTTCCAAGTACTCTGCCATCTTACCTTTAATAACGGACTCTAAAATCTTACCAATGACTGAGGTCATACTCACCAGCCTATAGTTTCCGGTCCTCTGCCTCCTGCTCTCCTTAAACAGGGCTGTTACATTATCGATTTTCTAGTCCTCTGGGATCCTCCCTAACTTCAGTGATGCCCGAATTATACTTGCAATGCCTCAGCTACCTTCTTCAGCACTCTGGGGGTGTAGTCCATTTGATCCAGATGATATATCCGCCTTCAGACCTTTTAGCTTCCCCAGTGCCTTCTCTTTAGAGTGATGCCACTACACTCACCTCTGTCCCTTGACTCTCGAAGTTCTAGCACGCTACTGGTGTATTCCACTGATGTAAAGTATCTATTCAGTCTATCCACCATTCCTTTGTTCCCCATTACCACTTCTTCAGCCTCATTTTCCAGCAGTACAATGTCCACCCTTGCTCTCTTACCTTTCATATATCTAACAAAACTCTTGTAATCTTCTTTTCTTGCTTGCTAGCCTAACCTCACATTTCATTTTCTCGCCCTTTACGATTTTTTGTTTTTAGTTATCCTCTGCTGGTTTTTAAAAGGGTTCCCAATCCTCTGGCTTCCTCCTACTTTTTACCACATTGTATACTTTTTCTTTTGCTTTTATGCTGTTCCTGTCTATGGTTGCCTCGTCCTCCTCTTTGTATTTTTCTTCTTCTTGGGACGAATTCCTGCTGTGCTTCCCAAATTAGCCCAAGAAACTCCTGCCATTGCTGTTCCACTGTCTTCCCTGCTAGGCTCCCTTTCAATCGGCTC